AATGGACCATGTCGGGTCGGGTCAAGTCTTACCAATTATAGTTATGGACTTAGACATTAATCCAACACTCCGCCCCCGAACGTTTCCGTCGTTCCGGTATGGGGGTGTGACAGTTATTTTGTACATATAATTGAAATCTTGTTTTACCAAATTAAAATAAATAAATAAGACATAGCAGATAACAACATCCATAAATAAAAACACATGTTTGTTTCATTAATGATAAAGTAGAGGTATATAACTTTTTGGAAAATTGACCTTTATAAGGTCTACAATACATCAAGATGATAATCCGACAACATAACGACCCTCCGAATAGTGTAATCACTTAGACGTAGGGTCGGTCCTACATACAAAATAAAAGAAAGGGGTAGCACTAACGCATACCCAAATATCCAGTCTATCATAGTTGGTAAGTAGGATAGATCCTACTCACATCGAGTAGTCCCCTGCGGTGCCTGGGATGAAGTAGAAGCACCCAGCAGCTCGGCTAGTCGGCGCTCGGCTACCAGTACTCTCTCCTCAAGAGCAACACGTCTCTCCTGGTATTCCCTTACCTCCGCTCGCACAGTAGTAAGGTCCTCGATGAGTCGGTCCATAGGGTAGTAATCCCTCTCGATGTCTCGAGTGCACACGGTCGTGACCTCTACTGCAACTCTCATCTCCATAACTCGGTTGGCTGTCGTCTGAGCCTGATCTCCAATGTCTGAAATCCTCCGGACCATGACGGGAAGGGCTCGGTTAGCGAGTCCTCCAAGGCGAAGGTCATAAAATCCTCGCTCCATCCCAAAAGGTAGGTGTTGCCCCTAATGCCGACTCCATCTCTTAAGGTCATATGCCAGGGGGCATAGGGCCATTATATCCTCAACGGCGAGCAGGTACTCTGGCCATGTAGGGAGGATCGATGACTTCGGACTCCGCATTCGACTCATCCTCCTCCTCCTCCTCTTCTTCAACTTCCTCCTCAACTTCTTCCTCCGACTCCTTCTTATTATAACATTATTTTCTAATATGCATGTATGTATGTACACTTTTATAAAATACTTATATTTTTAAAGTATACTTTAGTCAGACTGTTTTAGTACCATTGTATTTATAGTTGTTTATCTGGTATGGGTAGATATACTAGTTCACTATAAACAATGCTCTGATACCAATCTGTCACGCCCCCGAACCATGACGGCGGAAACGTCCGGTGGCGGATGACGTCATTGTATAGTATCATAACAGTTGAATATAAATGAAACATAGCAACCCAAGCGACATACATTGAGAATACAAACTTACATAGTTTACAGATTGTACTTGTTCATAAGTTACATAAAAGTGACAAAAAGTAAAATTTCATAGTGTTGCATCGCTTGGGCTCAAAACAGAGTTGATTACCTTTTACTTTTTCCCTGAGAATACAAGTCATTTTGAAAAGCGTCAACTATAAAGTTGTTGAGTTCATAAGCATTTTTGTATGAAAATGGATTTGTAACTGTTTAAAATGATTTTCGTATACTTTCAGAAAATTCGATATTTTCTATAAATTGTGTTGTTAGTCTTATATCCAAAACTAATAAAAAATGTATGTATGACTCTTGTATCTTTCCTTCTAAAATGATAGTGTATGTATGTTCCAAGAAAATCCAATAACTTCTTATAAGTAAACTGTAGTCTTAAACCCTAAGACCGGAAATGTAAGCAATTGTGTACTGAAAATGATGTGTCGTTTTATGTTTTAATAAAACCAGTGAAGTGTATGCTTCCCGTAAACCAAGATAATATTGTTAATCCCTAAGTGAGTTATTATAACCATGCTAAATGTGATTGTTATGCCTGTATAGACGTTCTTCAGGCGTCAGAATCGGTAAGATGTTTGTCACCCTAGATTGGTCCGTCTAGCTGTAGCGAACAACTCAGGTGTGGGTTGTCAATCCCCGTATAGATCTATACACAATTATCTCGCTCTCCCTCCAGGAGACTCTGGTTATAATGCAGGACTTAGAGTGTACACTAGGTAGGTACAGTGAAGAGAGTGTCTCACTAGAGCATTAACAGATTTACATGAACTACGACTCCCTTTTTATTGTATAATGAAATGACTTCACTCTTGAAAATTTGTGACATGTGTTTTATGACACGCGTTTTACGAGTTTAATGACATGCGGTTTACGACACGCGTTTTATAAGTTTCAGGACATACGTTTTATGACATGTGTTTTATGACATGCAAACTATCCTGTCAACAGTTTATTTTGTTTTCTCTTTTGTGTAAACTATTTATAAAAGTTTATATAGATAGCCAATGATAATTATGTCTAGTAGTAACATATGTTGTAAAAATAACATAATATTCTTGGGTTTTAAACCATGAAGAAAGTAACAACAAAATTACGACTATTTTTACTAGAAAAGTTTAGTATTAGCAAAAATCTCCAAGAGTTTGTAGTTTTTGCACAACTCATATATTTTCGGTTGAAATTTTGTAGCACAAAATGGTTTATTTTGGTCAACTTTAGTGAATCACGATTTTTAATAAAAACCATATGATTGTCCTCAACATTTTTATATTTATACAATTTTTATATTTGTAAAGGCAAGACAAGTAAATATCCAAAGATCAAAACATATTTGGCCTTCTATATACATAAGTTCTTGTTATATTTGAGTATATCGACTTTAAGGCCCGATTTTGTGTAAATAAAGTGTTGACCATCACATAGGTCACGATTTTTATGTAGTAAACAAATGATATCAACCATTTTATACAAGAAACTATTCACATTTAACATATAATCATAGTGCATGCAAATGTCCAATGGACAAACTCATTTTAACTTATAACAAGCTTGTAAATCACGATTTTCATGTATGTATGTATGAGGTTTTCGATATCATATGCTCAAAACATTCCATAAAGAAGTTGGTGCATGCAAAATTCCATTGGGTAAACGAAACTTGACTTGTATTCCCCCCCCCCCCCTAAAAAAACATGAAAAACACGAAAAACTTGGGGGTATGAAGCTCACCTTGGTTTTTTTTCGTGAGTTGTAGGGAAGAAGAAGGAGATGGTGTCGAGCCTAGAATGAAGGTGATGAACTTTGAATAGCTTCTTGGAAAGGTTGGTGTCCTAGAGATTTATCACACGAAAATGTGTGTAAATATGGTGAAATCCAACATAAAAACCACATAGAAAAGCTAGATGTTTATGAAATAACTTACCTAAGACCCGAAAATTTGAAGAAGGTGAAGAAATCCTTGAAAATCTTAACTTGTTTTGAGAGTGAGTTGGAGAATTGGAAGAGTTTTTGCCTTTGGGTGTGGCACAAATGGCCGCTCGGCCATGGTTTTTACGGAGGAACAAAAAGTGGTTCATGGATGTATGGAGGGTTGTTGCATGTCTTGCATGTATATTTGAGGGATAATAGAAGGTGTGGTGTGGAGATTTGGAGGGTAAAGAAGTGCAAAGGTGTGAGGTGTCACAAGTAAAGTTCATCCTTTTTGTCCTACTTCCTAAGCCAAAATCCATGCCTTGGAGAAGGGTTTTCGGTTTTTAGGGTGGCCAAAAACACCCTCCACTCACACAAGGTTTGCAGTTTTTAGAGATATGGGTTCTCGGGTTTGACATGGCCAAAATAAAAGAGTTTTCGGTTTCGACAAGGCCCAAAAAAAAGTTTTTCGGCCTAGGGTTATTTGGGCCGAGAACTCCTAAGCACAAGCCCAAAAATTGATTTGTGTTTAGCTATTAGATCAAACTTGGGCTTATAAAAGGCTATTGCAACTTGGTTCTAAGTGTAAACATATATGTACTCATATAGCATTGTCATTTTGAATTACAATAATCAATTTCAACAAAGTTACCTAGAGAAATTGTTTGTACATGAAATAAATTTCGACTCTAATTTTGCTAGTTGTGACATTATCCAACACTGAATTTGATCGAGAAGAAATAGAGAGCATCATGGTGAGGGTTTTCAGGTCGAAGACGTTTCGACAAAGAGTTCCATGTCGTCTTTCAAATATTCACGTAACTAGGCAGCGGAGGTGGAATTCGACGTAAATGGCAGCGCCAACGGTGACGTTTTCCAGCAGTGACGATGGTTTTCGGCGAAACATTAAGAGAGAGAGAGAGAGAGAGAGAGAGAGAGAGGTGGGATTTGGGTGGGTTATTAGGAGGTAGGTTTGTATTTTGCTTTATTTTAATTAAATAATAGTAAAGTAAATAAAAAAAACCAAATAGATAGTCAAAAATGTCATTTCAAGCATATTTATTTCTGGAATAGACAAAAATTGCAAAAAAAAAAAAAAAAACCGATTTTTTGACGATAAAGTAGTCGAAAACGACCATTTTTACAATTTTATCTTTATTTTTTTTAATCATGTACCAAAAGATGAAATCAATATCGTGTTTTGAAATTCGTTATCAAACAAAATTAAATTTCGACAATTCGGCCTGAATGAAAAGCCCACCAAAATATTAGCCTGTTTTGGGATCCGAAAGCCTGAAATTCCGGCACTCTGTTCGAAACGCATTTACGCCGTTACGCGCCCATTAATTACTATCCGTTACTTTCTTTTCTCCATTGAATTCTCCTTTTTCTTTCAAAATTCAAACGACTCTCCCCCTTCCTTCGAACCCTACTCCCAAACCCACTTTAATTCCCCAAATTTTAACTTAAAGAACCCAAAACGGTGAAATTTGAGGTTGCAGGTTCGGTTTTCTCAAATGGGCGCCTCTGCGAAATGGATTAAGTCCTTAATCGGGTATCAAAAGTCCAATTCCAACAGCTCCGATCAAGTAAGTCTGTTTTGTTTTTTTCTTTTTTCTTCAATTCATATGTTTCATGTTGGGTTAGAGTGGTTGATTCAATTGGGTATTTTTTTTTGTGTGCAGGAGAAGGTTGGGGGTAACAAAACCAGGACATGGAAGCTATGGAGGAGTCCATCAGCGGGAAGTTCTTCTGTTTCATCATCAAAGGGGATAAAGGGAGGAGGACGTTTGTCCACTTCTGATGGTTCTCGTTCTGAAGATGTTTCATTTTCTGCTGCCGTCGCTACTGTGGTTCGAGCTCCGCCTAAAGATTTCATGTTTGTTAGGAAAGAATGGGCTGCCATCCGAATTCAATCCGTTTTTCGCTCTTTCTTGGTAATTTCTAATCATTTCCCTTTCTTTTACCTTGTTTATCTAAAATTTTAACCCAATATACTTCCCTCTAAGTATATGATTTGTCTCAATCTAGCCTTTTTAGATAAAAATTGATGCTTTCTCTGGATCGTATACCAAATGATGAAATAAGAGCTATAGATGTTTTTCAAAAGGGCTAAGAGTTTTGTGATTGGGAAAATCGTCAAGATGTTTATGGGTCAAAACTATAATTCTTTTAGTGAAGGTCAAAACTGTTATTATAAAACACTAAATGCAATTTTTCCTTATTATAGCATCATGATTAAAGCCGATGACATTTCTGTGGCCTTTTGTGTGTAGCATAAGCCATAAACCTTCACAAAATTCATTCAAACTTAAATTTTACATCAATCTTATAAATCTTAATTATTTGTATTGAAGGCAAGACAAGCTTTACGTGCACTAAAAGCATTGGTGAGGCTCCAGGCTATAGTAAGAGGTCGGCTTGTTAGAAAGCAAGCCGATGTGACACTTAGGTGCATGCAAGCTCTTGTTCGAGCCCAAGCTCGTGTTAGAGCTCAATCTGCTAACACTACACAAGAATTTCCTACAGCTTTGAGAAACCATCTTTCTGCTGTCAAGCAATCTGAGGTAACTTAAAGTAATCATTTTTTTTTTCTTCATGTTTTCATGATCGTTTCAAAAGCATCTCTTTAACACCAAAAACTAAAATACCATTTTTTTTTGTTGTTAAAGGGTGGGTGGTGTGATAGTCGAGGAACAGTAGAAGAAGCGAGAGTAAAAGAACAAATGAAGCAAGATGGCGCTAATAAGAGAAATAGAGCTAAAGCTTATGCCTTCTATCAACAGGTTTTAGTTTTGTAAATTTTAGATAACGAGGTTAATTTATTGTTATTATATAGTTTTTTAGTAACATGGTATGATTTTTTGTTTAATTTTTAGAAACAAAGAGCAAATTCCAACTCGAAGAGTTCTTCTCCAAGATCTGGCGTGCAAAACTCTGAATGGACATGGCTGAATGGTTGGATGGCTGCAAAATCATGGGACACCACCAGTTCTTCCAAAATTTCATCTCAAATCAAGAATTCTGATGATCGAAGTGTTAAATCTTGTTCTGAACATGAATCTATGAAGATAAAAAAGAATATAGTTTCAACTAGGGTTTCTTTGAAGCCGTTTATGTCAAGTCCACTTACGCAATCATCATCAACGAACCCATGTTCTGGTTCTGTGTATGATGAAAGCACAACATCAACGAATTCTTCATCTTCAACTTCAGAAACTCGATTGTCGAGTGAAAGCAAACCAAGTTACATGAGCATGACTGAATCGATCAAAGCTAAAAGGAAAGGGCAAGGGCAAGGGCGTAATTATATCTCAAATGCAAGTCCACTTTCAAAGGGGGTAGCTGCAAGAAGGAGTGCTGATTCTGATCTTTATTCATCGGAATTGGGTAAGGATTTGTATCCACCAATGTTTATTGATAGATACGATGAAGTGAGGAGTCGAAGGGGTTGATTGAAAAAGATTTGGGATTTTGGCTAATCTTTTAAAAGTTCAACAGCTTGTTGTGTGATTTGGTTTTCACATTGATTCTTTAGCTCCAATACGAGCTTAAAGGAAAGTCAGTTGAGATGTGGATCTTTTGGATTTCTGTTTTCATACATAGATTGGGAAGTGGGGATCATAGGATTTGTTGAGATATGGTCTCAATTTTCTTCTTTATCTTTAAAGAACTTGCATAGTACAGAAGTGAAAACTGTTAATGCTTTTATTTATTGTATTTTATTTGCGAATTTTATACCAAACAAAGAGTGCATTTGCTTACATATCAATGGTAGATATATTTGGATGTTTGTTTTCAAAGTTATTATGGTTATTAGAAACACTCCCATCTGCTAACCTTTCTCCCTAAAGGTTTTTTTGAAGTGATAATGTATGTCTCTACATTTTTCTAATTAATCTGTATCAGATTTAAAGTCTAGCATCTTGGGGGATAAATGCATATCTAAACACAATACTAGCTGTCTTTCATATAATTGAAATTAGAACACTAGTTTATAACCCGTGAGAAACACGGTTATACAATTAATTAAACTTTCATAGTAAAGATTAATATTTATTAATCAATTATTTTAAATAAATTATTAACTAAGAGATATATCAAAATTTTAAACTTATTATAATTTCAAATTTAACATATAGTTAGAAAAAGTAAATTTGAATTTTGAAGTGATTTCCCTAATATATCTCCATGACATGTGACATAATATTAATAATGAGTTGTATTAGAGTGATACATGGAAAAAGAGATTAAAACTATTCTTTTATTAGAATAAGGATTATGGGAGAGACAGTGAAGAACACATTTCTAAAAAACAATAGTGTCTTGAAAAAGCAAAATCAAAACCATAAGAAACACTAGGCGTTGAATAAACAAAAACAAAATTAATGAACCATAGTAAATGCCTGCACAAACACCCCAGTGGTTTTATGTAACGATTAAAATTGATTATAGTTTTCACCTTCTTAATGATGATTTCTTGAAATGAAAATGATGTCATTAAACAAAATGATGTCCAAACACCCTCCGTAGGTTTTATCTAAGATTATGGTATTCACCTAATGATGATATCTTGAAAAGAAAATGATGTCACAGGAGGAAAGAGTTCGTGGGTCATTTTCAAATATAACAGGAAATGAACGTCTTGATAGGATATATCGTGCATTCGTTAAAAAACTTTTTGACTGATTTGTTGTTATATTACATGCATACGTTCTTTACCATACTAAAGAAGATTGGGTTTCATGTGGTAGAGTGATTTATGCAACTTATTTGGGCAAAACATCAAGATCCCATGAAAAGGAAGTATGAAAATGAACAAAAGAAAGAGGGTGATGTATGTGGTAAGTTAAAAAAAAGCTTCTTCAATTTTGAGTAGAAAAGAGGACTTTCTGTCATTGGATTATAATGAACAGAAGAGTAGAACAAGTGTGGGGACAATAAGGACACAGTTTTTTTTTCATTTATTTATTTGTACAATTTTTATCATGTTACTATTTGACTTGGGCATTGATGAGATCAGTGTGTCTGTCTTAAATTTGGAAGCTGTTTGATTTATGAATGATTGATATCTTCTCACCTATACCTTTTTTCTGCATCATAGCTTGCTTCTAAAAATTGGAAAGTCACATGCTCCTACTTGTGCTTCTCTCTCTTAATTCTATCCCACTAGGGGTGTTGTCTACTATGGCCTCCCAAGGATAAAACATGTACGTGAGCTAGATTGACGTATTTGCATAGATGTCTATGTGTATATTTGTTTTATTCTTCTGGGTTTTAGTTTGTGATGGATTATGTTTGGCTGATAATGTTATTTATTACTTTGATGTGTGATAGTAGTAATACTTCTAATTATTTTTGCCACCCTCTCTCTCTCTCTCTCTCTCTCTCTCTCTCTCTCTCTCTCTCTCTCTCTCTCTCTCTCTCTCT